AGATTGGATTTATCTAGTTTATCTAATTTGGACTTCATGTTATTAAATAATTTATATGTTGTATTATTCGTCTTCATTGCCAGTGTATATTTTTCTTTGTCATATATGTCCGAATGTTTTATTCTCTCGGATAGTCCTGAGATATATTCCACTGATTGGTATATTTTCCTCGATGGTTCGCTCTTTTCCCTATTCTCCTTATTTAAAACGTTGTCTATCAAATGGTTTATCGTCTTGTATGGGAAGTCGTTTTTGAGTAAAATATTCTTAATTTTACTAAGGTTATTCTTATGAAATTCCGTGTTGCTGGTGTCCAATACTCTTGTGATGAAATTTGTCGCAGTATTCATAATTATTCTCTTAGGATGTTTTGAATAGAAATTGATAAGCCTTCCCGACGCCATCGGTTTTTGATACCAGTCCAACTTAATCATATTCCCTCTTCTAATAATTATTGAATCCAAATACGGTAATCTGTTGTCTATTTCCTTCTCCAACGTAAATTGTATACGTCTATGAAAGGCATTTAGGGTTCTCAAAGTAATTTCCACTTGATCTTTTTTCAAAATTCCGAATAGGTCGTCCACATATTTCGTCATTAATCTTGGTTTGTTTTCCAATTGATCAAGGGTTGTTTCCAATAGTTCCTCCATGACTATATCGGCAATTATTGGGGAAATTGGGGATCCCATAGGCATGCCCTTGTTTTGTTCATAAAAGTTGTCCTTAAACTTAAAATATCTGCAATCTTTTATACAAAACGTCAATATATCCATAAATAATTCTCTAGGTATTTTCGTATGTTCTTCTAACATATGCCATTTTCTGTCTATAGTCTTGATTGCCAGGTTTATTGGAATACTGGGAAATAAAGAGACTACGTCGAATGATACCAGTATCTCATCATCCTCTATGCGTGTGTTGTCAATTCTATTCTTAAATTCCCTTGCGTCTCTTACGTTATAAATAGAATCATTTGTCAATTTTCTTAAAATGTCAATTATATATTTACTCAGATTGTATGAAGGTGAGTTGATCGATGAGCAGATAGGACGTAATGGCATATCCTTCTTATGGATCTTTGGGAGACCATATATCCTTGGGGCTATAGCAATCCTTGTTGTCAATTTGTTTTTGTCAAGTAAATTTATAACATTAAGCTTGTATAATTTTTCCACAAGGATGTTGTTCTTATTCTGAAGACTAAGTGTAGGATCTTTTTTAAGGCGTCTATATGTACACATGTCCTTGATGATATCCATCATCTTTGTATTATAATCGTCTTTAGTCATTGCCACCGTCTTATTACCCTTATCTGAGTTCAATATAATTATATCATTATTTGCCTCCAAATATTTTTCACATTGAACCACTGTATTCAATATCAGTTTATCCCTTGCGTTCATTTTCGATTTTCTCATGTGGTCATCAATTAATGTAACAAATTTTGCTCTCGATATCTCTTGCTGTTCTTTATCCTCAATCGTCTGTATGCATTGTTCGCCATCGGTGATGCATTTGAATAATGGGAATGTTTCTCTCGTATTGGGCAAAGCAAACTTGGAACCAAGTGACAGTAGCCATTGAATATTTGTTGGTATAATTTTCTCTGTTCTATTCACAAACCAATCTTTGTTATGCTTCATATCAAGTTTAGCTGTTCCATTTTCCCTTAAGGTTTCAAACTTTTCAATAAGTCTCTTGTCATTATTGTTCTTAACGTTATTATAAATTGTCTCTTCACTTAACATAAATAGCTCACAGTCATGTTCTTCCACCCTATTATCTATAATTCCTCTTAGTTTTGTGATTCTACTTTCATTGTCATGAATCTGTTTGTGTTTTTGTTGTATTAATAATCTTAAAATAATAGATTATTAATACAACAAACAAATAGAAGATCAAAACATAAACAACAGACGACACTGCATTAAAATTAAATGTAAGGAAATTATTTGTTATTGTTTATATTATATTTGTTTTGTTATTATTTGTTATTGTACTTTATGTATTATTTGTAGAACTTTCCCTGAAGATGACCAACGAAGTTGGTCGAAATATTGGAAACCACAATAAATATTAATTAAACTAAGGACAAAAAAGAGTTTTTAATTTTTAATATTTATTTAATGAAAAGACCTCAAGCCGAACAAACCCAACATTTCTGAAAACAACCAAAAGGTCTAGAGAACAAATAAACTAACAAACAACACGGAAGGCACGCCGTCAACAGCTTAAACATGACGCTGTATAGGAACATCAAACACAAATACGATAAAAATACAAATAATGTGATAAAGACTTTTTCAAAACATAATAAACAATTGGCCAACTTGAGATCATCAACAACTTTCCTTATAAAATGCAGAGAAAATGGACTAATACCTGGATTCATCGCCAAGGCCACGGTTAACATTAACAGAATTTTTATGGAAAATGGTAACTTAACCGAATGTTTGGACAAAACCCTACACAGACATATATATAATTTTCATAATATTATTTTAAGATTATTAATACAACAAAAACACAAACAGATTCATGACAATGAAAGTAGAATCACAAAACTAAGAGGAATTATAGATAATAGGGTGGAAGAACATGACTGTGAGCTATTTATGTTAAGTGAAGAGACAATTTATAATAACGTTAAGAACAATAATGACAAGAGACTTATTGAAAAGTTTGAAACCTTAAGGGAAAATGGAACAGCTAAACTTGATATGAAGCATAACAAAGATTGGTTTGTGAATAGAACAGAGAAAATTATACCAACAAATATTCAATGGCTACTGTCACTTGGTTCCAAGTTTGCTTTGCCCAATACGAGAGAAACATTCCCATTATTCAAATGCATCACCGATGGCGAACAATGCATACAGACGATTGAGGATAAAGAACAGCAAGAGATATCGAGAGCAAAATTTGTTACATTAATTGATGACCACATGAGAAAATCGAAAATGAACGCAAGGGATAAACTGATATTGAATACAGTGGTTCAATGGGAAAAATATTTGGAGGCAAATAATGATATAATTATATTGAACTCAGATAAGGGTAATAAGACGGTGGCAATGACTAAAGACGATTATAATACAAAGATGATGGATATCATCAAGGACATGTGTACATATAGACGCCTTAAAAAAGATCCTACACTTAGTCTTCAGAATAAGAACAACATCCTTGTGGAAAAATTATACAAGCTTAATGTTATAAATTTACTTGACAAAAACAAATTGACAACAAGGATTGCTATAGCCCCAAGGATATATGGTCTCCCAAAGATCCATAAGAAGGATATGCCATTATGTCCTATCTGCTCATCGATCAACTCACCTTCATACAATCTGAGTAAATATATAATTGACATTTTAAGAAAATTGACAAATGATTCTATTTATAACGTAAGAGACGCAAGGGAATTTAAGAATAGAATTGACAACACACGCATAGAGGATGATGAGATACTGGTATCATTCGACGTAGTCTCTTTATTTCCCAGTATTCCAATAAACCTGGCAATCAAGACTATAGACAGAAAATGGCATATGTTAGAAGAACATACGAAAATACCTAGAGAATTATTTATGGATATATTGACGTTTTGTATAAAAGATTGCAGATATTTTAAGTTTAAGGACAACTTTTATGAACAAAACAAGGGCATGCCTATGGGATCCCCAATTTCCCCAATAATTGCCGATATAGTCATGGAGGAACTATTGGAAACAACCCTTGATCAATTGGAAAACAAACCAAGATTAATGACGAAATATGTGGACGACCTATTCGGAATTTTGAAAAAAGATCAAGTGGAAATTACTTTGAGAACCCTAAATGCCTTTCATAGACGTATACAATTTACGTTGGAGAAGGAAATAGACAACAGATTACCGTATTTGGATTCAATAATTATTAGAAGAGGGAATATGATTAAGTTGGACTGGTATCAAAAACCGATGGCGTCGGGAAGGCTTATCAATTTCTATTCAAAACATCCTAAGAGAATAATTATGAATACTGCGACAAATTTCATCACAAGAGTATTGGACACCAGCAACACGGAATTTCATAAGAATAACCTTAGTAAAATTAAGAATATTTTACTCAAAAACGACTTCCCATACAAGACGATAAACCATTTGATAGACAACGTTTTAAATAAGGAGAATAGGGAAAAGAGCGAACCATCGAGGAAAATATACCAATCAGTGGAATATATCTCAGGACTATCCGAGAGAATAAAACATTCGGACATATATGACAAAGAAAAATATACACTGGCAATGAAGACGAATAATACAACATATAAATTATTTAATAACATGAAGTCCAAATTAGATAAACTAGATAAATCCAATCTAGTGTATGAAATTAAATGTAATGGTGACGAAACCAACATATGCCAAAAGGTATATGTTGGTACAACGAAAACAAAACTGAGGACAAGATTATCATCGCACAAATCAGATTTAAGAACACTTGACAAACCATTAAATCAAAAAACAGCCCTCGCTGCCCACTGTGCAATAACTGGACACCAACCAGACTTTGAAAAAGTGAGAATATTAGCTGGAGAGAACAATCACACAAAACGTTACTTACAAGAGATGCTCCACATTATAAATACACCAACAGAAAAGAGAATAAATTACAAAACAGATACTGACAACTGCGCTCACATTTATCGACATACAATAAATAAATACAGAAACAATAAACAAAAGAATAAAATCAAAACAGTCAGTCATAGAAGATCAAAACATAAACAACAGACGACACTGCATTAAAATTAAATGTAAGGAAATTATTTGTTATTGTTTATATTATATTTGTTTTGTTATTATTTGTTATTGTACTTTATGTATTATTTGTAGAACTTTCCCTGAAGATGACCAACGAAGTTGGTCGAAATATTGGAAACCACAATAAATATTAATTAAACTAAGGACAAAAAAGAGTTTTTAATTTTTAATATTTATTTAATGAAAAGACCTCAAGCCGAACAAACCCAACATTTCTGAAAACAACCAAAAGGTCTAGAGAACAAATAAACTAACAAACAACACGGAAGGCACGCCGTCAACAGCTTAAACATGACGCTGTATAGGAACATCAAACACAAATACGATAAAAATACAAATAATGTGATAAAGACTTTTTCAAAACATAATAAACAATTGGCCAACTTGAGATCATCAACAACTTTCCTTATAAAATGCAGAGAAAATGGACTAATACCTGGATTCATCGCCAAGGCCACGGTTAACATTAACAGAATTTTTATGGAAAATGGTAACTTAACCGAATGTTTGGACAAAACCCTACACAGACATATATATAATTTTCATAATATTATTTTAAGATTATTAATACAACAAAAACACAAACAGATTCATGACAATGAAAGTAGAATCACAAAACTAAGAGGAATTATAGATAATAGGGTGGAAGAACATGACTGTGAGCTATTTATGTTAAGTGAAGAGACAATTTATAATAACGTTAAGAACAATAATGACAAGAGACTTATTGAAAAGTTTGAAACCTTAAGGGAAAATGGAACAGCTAAACTTGATATGAAGCATAACAAAGATTGGTTTGTGAATAGAACAGAGAAAATTATACCAACAAATATTCAATGGCTACTGTCACTTGGTTCCAAGTTTGCTTTGCCCAATACGAGAGAAACATTCCCATTATTCAAATGCATCACCGATGGCGAACAATGCATACAGACGATTGAGGATAAAGAACAGCAAGAGATATCGAGAGCAAAATTTGTTACATTAATTGATGACCACATGAGAAAATCGAAAATGAACGCAAGGGATAAACTGATATTGAATACAGTGGTTCAATGTGAAAAATATTTGGAGGCAAATAATGATATAATTATATTGAACTCAGATAAGGGTAATAAGACGGTGGCAATGACTAAAGACGATTATAATACAAAGATGATGGATATCATCAAGGACATGTGTACATATAGACGCCTTAAAAAAGATCCTACACTTAGTCTTCAGAATAAGAACAACATCCTTGTGGAAAAATTATACAAGCTTAATGTTATAAATTTACTTGACAAAAACAAATTGACAACAAGGATTGCTATAGCCCCAAGGATATATGGTCTCCCAAAGATCCATAAGAAGGATATGCCATTACGTCCTATCTGCTCATCGATCAACTCACCTTCATACAATCTGAGTAAATATATAATTGACATTTTAAGAAAATTGACAAATGATTCTATTTATAACGTAAGAGACGCAAGGGAATTTAAGAATAGAATTGACAACACACGCATAGAGGATGATGAGATACTGGTATCATTCGACGTAGTCTCTTTATTTCCCAGTATTCCAATAAACCTGGCAATCAAGACTATAGACAGAAAATGGCATATGTTAGAAGAACATACGAAAATACCTAGAGAATTATTTATGGATATATTGACGTTTTGTATAAAAGATTGCAGATATTTTAAGTTTAAGGACAACTTTTATGAACAAAACAAGGGCATGCCTATGGGATCCCCAATTTCCCCAATAATTGCCGATATAGTCATGGAGGAACTATTGGAAACAACCCTTGATCAATTGGAAAACAAACCAAGATTAATGACGAAATATGTGGACGACCTATTCGGAATTTTGAAAAAAGATCAAGTGGAAATTACTTTGAGAACCCTAAATGCCTTTCATAGACGTATACAATTTACGTTGGAGAAGGAAATAGACAACAGATTACCGTATTTGGATTCAATAATTATTAGAAGAGGGAATATGATTAAGTTGGACTGGTATCAAAAACCGATGGCGTCGGGAAGGCTTATCAATTTCTATTCAAAACATCCTAAGAGAATAATTATGAATACTGCGACAAATTTCATCACAAGAGTATTGGACACCAGCAACACGGAATTTCATAAGAATAACCTTAGTAAAATTAAGAATATTTTACTCAAAAACGACTTCCCATACAAGACGATAAACCATTTGATAGACAACGTTTTAAATAAGGAGAATAGGGAAAAGAGCGAACCATCGAGGAAAATATACCAATCAGTGGAATATATCTCAGGACTATCCGAGAGAATAAAACATTCGGACATATATGACAAAGAAAAATATACACTGGCAATGAAGACGAATAATACAACATATAAATTATTTAATAACATGAAGTCCAAATTAGATAAACTAGATAAATCCAATCTAGTGTATGAAATTAAATGTAATGGTGACGAAACCAACATATGCCAAAAGGTATATGTTGGTACAACGAAAACAAAACTGAGGACAAGATTATCATCGCACAAATCAGATTTAAGAACACTTGACAAACCATTAAATCAAAAAACAGCCCTCGCTGCCCACTGTGCAATAACTGGACACCAACCAGACTTTGAAAAAGTGAGAATATTAGCTGGAGAGAACAATCACACAAAACGTTACTTACAAGAGATGCTCCACATTATAAATACACCAACAGAAAAGAGAATAAATTACAAAACAGATACTGACAACTGCGCTCACATTTATCGACATACAATAAATAAATACAGAAACAATAAACATTTTATGGAAGTGTTAGAATGCCTATGCAAATTTCCTAAACAGGGCTTTTAAAATAAGCTAGGATTACATAGTACCTTATGTTTAACAGAAGTGTCCCACTTTTTTCCTAATTTTTATACCCACCATCAAAAAGATGGGGGGTATATTGATTTTGTCATTCCGTTTGTAACACATCGAAATATTAGTCATAGACCCATAAAAGTATATATATTCCGGGTCCTTATTAAATTCTAAGACGATCTAGCCATGTCCGTCCGTCTGTCCATCCGTCCGTCCGTCTGTCTGTTGAAATCACGATAGGGACCACACGAGAGGTGCTAGACAGTTGAATTTTGCATAAATATTCTCTATTGTTAAGATTTGTTTGGTATTGAAAATGGGCAATATCGGTCCACTTTTTCGGATAGCCCCCATACAACACTTATTTATAAGTAGGAGTATAGCGATGAAATTCGACATAAAGAAGTTTAATGTCAGCCAAAATCTTTCTACAAAATTTTTTGAGGATCGGCCTATAAATGACCCTACCCCCCATATAAGGTCCCCTTATGAAAATTACTTTAACACTCATTACTGGTCCCAAAATGCAAGTATAGCAATGAAATTCGGTATAAGTATGTTTCTTACGAACCAAAATCTCTCTACCAATTTTTTTTTAGGATCGGCCCATAAATGACCCTACCCCCTATATAAGGTCCCCTTTAGAAAATGACTTTAACACTCATTACTAGCCTAAAAATTCGAGTATAGCGATGAAATTCAGTATAAGTAAGTTTCTTACAAACCAAAACCTTTTAACCCAATTTTTTTAGGATCGGCCCATAAATGACCCTACCCCCCATATAAGGTCCCCTCCTGAAAATGACTTAAACACTCATTACTGGCCCTAAATTTTTCTACCAAATGTTTTGAGGATCGGTCCATAATTGACCCTACCCCCCATATAAGGTCCCCTTTAGAAAGTTACTTTAACACTCATTACTGGTCCAAAAATGCGAGTATAGCGATGAAATTCGGTATAAGTAAGTTTCTTACGAACCAAAATCGCTCTACGAATTTTTTTAAGATCGGCCAATAAATGACCCTATCCCCCATATAAGGTCCCCTTCTGAAAATGACTTTAACGATCATTACTGTCTAAAAAATATAAATATAGCAATAAAATTTTACACAATTAAGTTCCTCCCGAGCCAACATCTTTTTAATAACTTTTATGTGGATAGGTCCATAATTGGCCCTACTCTCCCTATTGGGTCCATTTCAGAAAATAGCTTAAACGCTCATTACTGTCTTAAAAATACGAGTAAAGCGATGAAATGCTACACACGTAAGTTTCTTACCTCTGTACCAATTTTTTTGGATCGGCCCATAAATAACCCTTCCCCCATATAAGGTCCCCCTCTGCAAATAACTACAATGCTCATTACTGGCTTAAAAATATGAATGTGACGAAAATTGACGCACATAAGTTTAATGCGTGCCAAAATCTCTCCACCAAATTTAGGGAGGATCGGTCCATAATTTAATTTTCAGAAAATTACTTAAACGATCATTACTGGCTTAAAAATATGAGTTATGAAATACGGTTATGAAATTCGCTCCGAATTTCATGCGGAATGTTTTGGTAATACACAAAAGGTTCCCTTCAGGTTAATAACTACGAGTGTTCCTTATTTAAAATACGAGTATAGCGCTGAAATTTTGCATAAACAAATCCTATACATAATCTATGTACAAAATTTTATGAGTATCGGTTCATAATTGACGCTCACGGTTTAAGAATTGAAATAAAATATTTGTTTTTTTTTTTTAATTAATATTTTGGTAGTTCAAAAGAGCTCTGGCCATAATTGACTTAAGCCATATTCCAAATATCACCCTGATGTTTATAGGGGAGCATTCCTTTTACGGCATGCGGTTTGATGGTGGGTATATGAGATTCGGCACAGCCGAATATAACACTCTTACTTGTTTTATATTAATGAAATAATGTAAATCAGATGACTAGATCTATAGTTATTATCTTTTAAACTGTTAAAATCATTTCGGGTCATGTTTTATTAATCAAATTAAAACATAAACATTAAGTTTTTCAAATTAAAATATATTTTTTTTATTTATAATGAAAAACCGGTTAACCGGTTTTTTCTGAATTTGAAAAAAATCAACCGGTTTTTTTTAAATGTCAACTATTCGAACTATTCGAAAACCGGTTTTTGGAAAATGTCGAATAATCGATCACCCTAGTGGGTATACAAATAGAAGAAGAGAAAACTCATCTTCTAGAAGTCGAGAATACTCATCTTCTAGAAGAAGAGAATACTCTTCTTCTAGAAGATAAGATAGGAACACTTATAGATGATACTAAGTAGTCACTTCAAGAAGTGACTTCCTAGTCACATCTAGAAGAGTCTTTGGCAATACCTTACTTCCAAGAGTCATCTAGAAGTTTCTTCTGCGGGTCTTCCAGAAGTATCTTCCACGATACTCTTAGACGTTCCCCAGCTCGGCATCAGTTCTTCCCGACTGCTGACAAGAATTCGTATACTTCCGCAACATCGCTGGCGAGCTTTTAGCACGTTTGGAAGTTTCATACGGGTAACTTCCGCAATAGAAAATGTTTGTAGGGTATTATTTGACGCACAATAAAACAGCTAAGCAGTGGTGTAGTGAGTGGAGCATCCAACTGGCAGACGGAAGGTATTGAGTTCAACCCCAGTCTGTGTCGACTTTTTATTTTTATTTTTTCATAAATATTCTATAAATAACTCTATTAAAAAAACAACTTTTTTCCAACCAAATAATATTGACTTACTTTTGGAACATCTCAAACAAAAATAAGTACTTTTTCTAGTAGAATTGTAAGCACTTTACTCGATGAATTCTGGTGATTTTTCTAGTGAATTTGTAAGCAAATATTTTGCTGGGATGTTATTTGCAACCATATCGGAACCTCAAATTACCGCCTTTATAAAGCTGTGAAAATAATTCTACCGATCTATCCAATTGGCCATTTTCTAAAAATATATTATGCAATAAATTATATACCAAAACAAATGGCAACTATAATGCAATAAAAAGATATATAAACGACTGTTATAACATGAAAACTATAAAAGTTATTTGCAACCATATCGGAGCCTTGAATTACCGCATTTTTAAACCTGTACCAATAAATATACCGATCTATCCAACTTTTGTAAAAATTCATTATGCCACAAATTATACACCAAAATAAAGTGCAACTGTAATGCTTTAAAATGATGCATAAACTATTGCCCTAGCATGAAAACTGTCAAAGTTATTTGCAACCATATCGGAACCTCAAATTACCGCGTTTTTAAACATAGAACAATAATTCTACCGATCCTTCAAATTTACCATTTTTTAGACGAACACATTGTGCCACAAATGATATACCAAATTAAAGTGCAATCATAATGCTTTAAAATGATGCATAAATGACTGTCATAGCATGAAAACTGTCAAAGTTATTCACAACCATATCGGAACCTCAAATTACCGCCTTTTTAAACCTGGGAAAATAATTCTACCGATCTATCCAATTGGCCATTTTCTAAAAATACATTATGCAATAAATTATATACCAAAACAAATGGCAATTTTAATGCTTTAAAATGGTGCATAAACGATTGTCCTAGCACGAAAACTGCCAAAGTTAATTGCAACCATATCGGAACCTCAGATTACTGCGTTTATTAAACATAAAGCAATAATTCTACCGATCTATCAAATTGACCAATTTGTAAAAATACACATTATGCTACAAATGATATGCCATATTAAAGTGCAATCATAATGCTTTAAAATGATGCATAAATGACTGTCATAGCGTGAAAACTGTCAATGTTATTTGCAGCCATATCGGAACCTCAAACTACCGCGTTTTTAAAGCTGTGAAAATAATTCTACCGATCTATCCAATTGGCCATTTTCCAAAAATATATTATGGAATAAATTATATACCAAAGCAAATGGCAACTATAATGCAATAAAAAGATATATAAACGACTGTTATAACATGAAACTATAAAAGTTATTTGCAACCATATCGGAGCCTTAAATTACCGCATTTTTGAACCTGTACCAATAAATATACCGATCTATCCAATTTTTGTAAAAATTCATTATGCCACAAATTATACACCAAAATAAAGTGCAAATGTAATGCTTTAAAATGATGCGTAAACTAATGCCCTAGCATGAAAACTGTCAAAGTTATTTGCAACAATATCGGAACCTCAAACTACCGCGTTTTTAAACATAGAACAATAATTCTACCGATCCATTAAATTGAGCATTTTTTAGACGAACACATTATGCCACAAATGATATACCAAATTAAAGTGCAATCATAATGCTCTAAACTGATGCATAAATGACTGTCATAGCATGAAAACTGTCAAAGTAATTTGCAACCATATCGGAACCTCAAATTACCGCGTTTTTAAACATAGAACAATAATTCTACCGATCCTTCAAATTGACCATTTTTTAGACGAACACATTGTGCCACAAATGATATACCAAATTAAAGTGCAATCATAATGCTTTAAAATGATGCATAAATGACTGTCATAGCATGAAAACTGTCAAAGTTATTCACAACCATATCGGAACCTCAAATTACCGCCTTTTTAAACCTGGGAAAATAATTCTACCGATCTATCCAATTGGCCATTTTCTAAAAATACATTATGCAATAAATTATATACCAAAACAAATGGCAATTTTAATGCTTTAAAATGGTGCATAAACGACTGTCCTAGCACGAAAATTTCCAAATTTAATTGCAACCATATCGGAACCTCAGATTACTGCGTTTATTAAACATAGAACAATAATTCTACCGATCTATCAAATTGACCAATTTGTAAAAATACACATTATGCTACAAATGATATACCATATTAAAGTGCAATCATAATGCT